ATCACCCATAGCAATGGTCAAGTTTTAAAAAAAATCATTTTAATATAATACACAGAAGAAAACATAGGTATTAAAATTATGAACCTTGGTCTCAGAGGGGTTTTTGTGAACTTGCCCCACAGGCAAGGGAAGTAAACTTTAAAAAAATAAATGAATGGGATTAAAAAAAAAAAAACTAAAAAGCTTCTGTACAGCAAAGGAAACTATCAATAAAACAAAAAAGCAGCCAACCAAATGAGAAAAGATATTTGCAAACAATACATTAAATAAGGGGCTATTATCCAAAATATATAAAGAACTCATACAACAACAACAAAACCCAATTAAATGGGCAGAGGACCTGAACAGTTTTCCTAAGAAGACATACAAATGGCAACAGACATATGTAAAGATGCTCAGTGTCACTAGCTATTAGGGAAATGCAAATCAAAACCACAATGACATATCTACCTTATACTTGTTTGAATAGCTATTACCAATAAGATGAAAAATTACAAATGTTGGAGAGAATGTGGAGAAAAGGAACCCCCGACACCAATGGTGGGAATGTAAAGTGGTATAGTCTCTACAGAAAACAGTATGGAGGCTGCTAAAAAAAAAAAAAAAAAATTAAGAATAGCCAGAGCTACCTTCTGACCCAGCAATCCTTCTTCTGGGTATCTCCCTGAAAATTTTAAAAACATCTGTTCATAAAGATACATGTACCCCTATGTTAATTGAAGCATTATTTATAACAGCCAAGACATGGAAACAACCTAAGTGTCCTTCAATCAATGACTGGATGAAGAAGATGCAGTATATATATATATTCAATGGAATACTACTCAGCCATAAAAGGTAATGAAATGCTGCCATTGCGACAACATGGATGAATTTTGAGAGTACCATGTTAAATGATATAAACCAGAGAGAAAAGGACAAGAACCATATGATTTCGATCATATGTGGGATATAAAACAGAAAGCGATAAATGAACAAACAAAACAAACTCATAAACATAGACAAGAGAATGATGATTATCAGAGGGGAAGGGATGTGGGAGGAGGATAAAGAGGGTACAGGGTGATGGAAGGAGACTGGACTTTGGGTAGTGAACTCACAAAACAAGATACAGATGATGCATTATAGAATCGTGCACTTAAAACTTATGGAATCTTGTTAACAAATGTCACCCCCCCTCATAAATTTAATTTAAAAAATCATTGTTCTATTGACTTTTCATCCTTTTCTGTTTCACTGAATTTGTCCTTCACTCCTGCTCCCCGGGCTCATCTCTCAAATGAATTGCCTGTGTCTTAGCCTCTACTTGCGGGGAACCCAGTCTAGGACACCGATTATAACAGAGAATGAATTTCCTCTGGCCACCCAGAGCTATATTCATTCTTAACTTTCTTTAGAAACTATTCAATGCAACTGGGAGTTAGTGTGCTTGGGTAAGGCGATGCCACTTTGGAAAATTTAGGCTGGCAGATTTCCCTAGAGAAGACTTTTTTCCTTGTTGACTTCATTGCTAATGGCCCCAATTTTGCTCCTAGTTCTTTTTCTCTTAGTTGTTTGGAACAACACACCCAATTTCTTTGAAACAAACAAGCAAAGCAGAAATCTATCTAATCTTTTAACATTAACCCTGCTGGTAAATTTCCAGGGTTTAGTAAATATCCCATGTGTGAAATCGGTCCCCCGTCCCCTTTAGTTGTTGTCATTTATTTTCTTTGCTATTTACAGAGCCGTGAAATCTTGTTTTCTTCGCTTTAAATGACAAAAGACTATTTTCTTTGGCACAGTCCACGTATAGCAATGGTTAAACTGGCTGATATTTGTTTAGAAATTACTCAAAAGGCCGTGAGAGCAGGTGACCTGGATTATAGGATGTAGCCCCAGGAAGCGCAGAATATTTTACTTTCTGTCTTCTTGCCAAGATGCTGGTTTTTCCTTTGCCAATAGCAATTCGCAAGAAGATCGAGACTTTTTCTAGTTGGAATTTTGTAGGATATCAGCCACACTGCTTTCTTAGGAGCAACTGCTTACCCTTTCAAATCAGGAAGAGAAACACTGAGGGGAAAATGATATATTTAGCTTAGTTCTGCATGACAAATATTTCTTGATAATCTTCTCAGGTCAATTTTGGGAGAGTAGACTCCCTAAAAAGAAAATGGATTGACTCCATACACATACACCCATCATACTTGACGAGAGATTCAGACTGTGTTTAAAAAACAGCAGTAACAACAACAAAACACAGAATAGACTTTCAAAAGAATACGGTAACTGCCCCCAACTGACTCATAAAGAGGAAAGAAATTCGAAATAGAAAGCTGATAATCGGGAGACTCAAGAATGAATTCGAAGACAGATGTATAGACATTTTAAATAAAAGGTAGTTTCCAACATTTAGTGATGAATGACAGTGTACTTTCAAAGTCATAAAAGTCTAGAAATCCAGATTTCTCAAATTGGGAGGATTAAAGGATTCTGTACATTGACTATGTGTTGGGGACTGGGGCTTGGAAAAGGGGGGCAGAATTCACCCCACTTAGCTACCTTCACTATCAAGATTAGGAAATTTTCTGAGTATTATAAATAGCATACAAGGACATTTCTAAACATGGATGTATATTCTGATGTTTATCTCACCTATTGATTCTCATGAGAATTAAGAAAAACAACCAGAGAGTCTGAAGATTTTACCGTGGAATTTAAAATGGTTGTGTTCACTTGAAGAGTCCCCTTCTTGAACTCTACTTCAAGAATAAAGAATATAGTCAATAATATTTTAATAACTATGTACAGTGGCCATTCATACATCATATAAATGTCTAACCACCATGCTGTACACCTGAAACTAATATATTAAATGCCAACTGTAATTGAAAAATAAAAATTAAAAAAAAATGCAGTTATTCTGATTCTATTGGCACAGTTTCCTGTCATTCAGATTTTTTTTTTTCCTTATGAAACATTTCTCTTTATTTTCTGCCAGGACAATACCTGGATTCTGCCACATCACTAGTCTATCCCAAAGGTCCTGTTACATATATTACCTTCAAGATTGTTTATTTTATTTTTCTGCTTGAGGATACAGGTAATCACAGATTTTACTTTTGCTCAGATTGGTTTTATATTGATTCTGTCTTAAATATTTCTTTTGTTAATTTAAGTCATTTTTATTTGCCTTATTTCAACCCATGAGAACAGATCATCATTCTGACTTTCACCTTAAAATATTAAAGTTGTAAAACAATTTAATAGAAGCTGACCTTGAAAAAAGACTGGTTTATCTTACAAAGATCAGAATTTAAGAGGCACAAAAAAAAAAATAATGACATTCCCCAGGTTTAACTCCTTCATGAGACTGAAAAGGATGAAAAGTGATGACTGAATTATTATTAGTGTCAGCAAAGACTTATTTAGGAAAAACACATTACAGTTTTAGAGACCTCATTTCACCACATGATAACCCTTTGGTAATTAACACTTCAAGATTATATCATTTTTAAAATATAGTTGGTTAATTAAGCTATTTAATTAAAGACGAATTCAGTTGAACTATTTTCCAATGTATAAACAAAATAGCTGGCTGTTTAACAGAACTTTTTCATTTTTCAGCTGGAAGTATATGCATCATTAAAGACACAAAGCCAGAACAAAATCAACTGATGATCACTTTCTGACAATTATATAGGTTTCATTCATCCCACTTAAATTCACTAAAAGAATGTTAATATTTTCCATATCTCAAATTATGTTTCTTCTGCCTACAACTTACTTTCTTGGATTACACAGACTATTTTCTTAGTCGTTTATATTATTACCTATATTCTTTTCTTCTCTCCTTCTACCCTCTCATTTTATTGCTTTTTCTATGTTTTGCGTGTTTAGAAAAACAAAATAGAAGAGCCACAGAGCTTACCATTTCCACCAAGGATAAATATAAGAACATCCCAGCAGTAATTGTCAAGATCCAGTTTTGAACACATAGATCAGTTGATACTGAGAGGCCTATGTACAGCCCTATGAAGGCAGTTAGAGCACTTATAAAATTCAACAAGATGGCGACCTTAACAGGAAGTCCAGAGCTCAGGAGCACAGCAAAGTCTCCTGAAAATTAAGGGAAAAAGAAAATATAATTACTGATTAACTGATGATAGTTTTGGTAATATGCCATCAGGTCATTTCAAATTTCAGCAGCTGAGACTGATTATGTAAATTGAGCTGAATGATCGGTTAAGAAACTATTTTCCTACATTTTTCTAGGATTCATAGCTAACTCATTATGTTATTAGGAAGCTACATTTCAAGAGTCTATTCCTTTTCCCAAAGATAGTAAATACAGAGAGAACTGTGACATACTCTCCACTTTCTGATGTCCTGTGGTTCTGTGACATTTTCAGCTTAGATAAACACAAAATAAAGTGCTTGCTGTCCTGGGGTTTCTAAATCTTTTTGCCTAGAAACTAACCAGGCAAAATCACGAGGTAGTAAACACTATGCGGGCTTTTCTTATTTATTTATATAGGAACTGCTTTGGAGAAAGAGAAAACTACTTAATATGAGATTTTAAAATCATCACAAAAGTTGTTTAGAAAATGTTTTAAGGCTTTAATGAGTTTAGAAAAATGATATTCTCTCTTTTCTTCCAAAAGAAGAATGATCTATTCACCTGAGAGCCTCTATTTCTTAAATTGAGGGATCAAGAAGAGGCTGAAATTCAATAAATACAGCCTGGGGACCTAGTTTCCTAATTCCATTATAGAACTGGTCCTATGAACAGGTCTTGAAACATCGTTGGTGGCCTGCCACAGATTGTCACAGTTCCCTGTGGTTTTATTATAGCAGCTAAAAACAAGACCCTAGGATAGGGTACCCAGACTAGGCATGTTTCATTGGATTCAGGAAGGACCTTGGATAAACTGCTTCAAGAGGAATGGATCAATTTGTTGGCAACAGGACTTCGGACAGTAGACAATAAACACAAGAGGGCACTGGTGGCCAACGGGGGTAATGTTGAAAATAGAAGCAGAAGGAGTAACTGCCAAGAGCCTTCTCTCTAGGCACATGGATGCCTGGGTCCAGCCTCCACTCTTTCTGGATCTGTTTCATAAATATTTATTCTGTCTCATCCTGGTTCCTGGGAGGCAGGATTTAAATTACGGGGCTATTCCGATTATCCAGAAAGAGTCTTACATGCATCTGCTACCATATGCCTGTCATTTCCATTTTACGCTTGGCTTTAGATGTCTTGAATTAATCAGGTTGATGGAACCATGGTTTGGCTTTAATTTAAATGTTATTTTATCTCATTGGCCTGTTTGTCGATATAATGGGTAAGTCCCCTCTTAATGTTTTTCCCACATTAACTATGCAGATTTTAAAGTCCTTGCTAAACTTCTTTAAAGGGAAGTTTCTCTGAATGACTTTCTCCCATATAGAAATCTCCAGAATCCAAAAAGAGTCACTCTGTCCCCAGGAAATGTCATAGGGTCTCACTGAATTTTATCCCAAGGTACAGGATTTTTTTTCTAGTTCTTTTCTGCCTATGTTTAAATAAATTATGGAAGAAAAGTATTCATCTTTTCCTTGTATATTGGAAAACGAAGCTTGAGAAACCATAGCTAGAAATATATTAGTCTTCTCAACAAGCAGGAAGCCGTGATTCCACTGTCCGACTTACCCATTTCATGTGGAATTTCGTGACACAAGATAGCGATTGTCGTGGTCACTCCCGATTCGGATGAAGATGAGAAGGCCGCTCCTATTACGAGGCCGTCTGCAAAGTTATGCAGGCTGTCCCCAACCAGTATCATTATTGCTAACAAGCTAATGGATTTGCCTAAAGAACCAAATAAAGGTGTGAGAAGCACTGCATATTTCATGGAATCCTTCGAATATGACCAACTCTCCCATTCACCCTTGACATTCTTAAATTGCATCAGATTAAGTAACCCTGCTTTGTTTCAGCTTTTAAAATAAGTCAGGACTAGAGATGCAGCATGCTTGAATGTATGATCACCGGTTTTTAATGGATCTGACTAATAATGAGATAACTGACACACTGGCATTCACTATTCTATCACGCTGTGCCAAATAAATAAAAATAATATTGGAAAAACCTCCCAAAATACTAGCAATGATCTTTCCATATGTATCATTAAATGGAGTCTATTAAAATAGAGTCTATTTTCCCAAACTGTCCCCTGAATTAGACTGTTCCAAGTGTCAAGTGCATGTTCTGCCATTGTGTGATCATTGTGTTTCCCCATCCAGTTGGTGCTAATGACCTTCCTGAAGTGCCTCATTCACTTCCCATCTGAGACCACGACAGAACGGCTACCGACTCTCCGCATCCCAGAGTTAGCTTTGGAACAATTTCTTAATGTTCTTATCTTTCCAAAAACAACTTTCAGTACCAGGTCAGCCTGATGTTGAACAAAAGAAAGAGACGCTGCTTCTGTGGGATTCTATTACATAATATACGTTATCTATCTGATGGGTGGAGAGTCCATGAACTAATTTAGATTATAATAGGTTTAAGTAATGAAATAATTTAGATCATAATTGGGTTCAAGTTCTTAATGTGCAGAATTTCTGTTTTCAAAAACCTAACATTATATATTAGCATAACCCAATTATGGAGTGGAATGACCAAGAAATGCAAAAAGTATTTTGGAGATAATACTTATTTTGACAAGAAACTACCTAAGTATACCATTTGATAAGAAAAGCCATTAAAATCAGATGCCATAGTCTAAAACTTCATTAATTACTCACTTGCTACATCCTGTGTGACAAGTGTAAGTAGTAGCTGTTGTTACTGTTGAAACTGAACACAGTATTCTAAGAACTGTACTCTCAATAAAAATAGGAAGAAGTTGCCTCCTGGTTTCTGTTACATAGTCTAAGACCACAGGGGGACTGTATTATAATATGGTTTGCTATTTGGGGGTGAGGGGACATAGTTTGACTCATTTCATATTCCACACCTTGAAATAAGTAACTTCTGCTGAGTAAACAGCATGCACAGCCCAGGCTGTCAGTCAGGAGATGGCTGTTTTGACTGCTTCAAAGATGTCCCATGCATTTTGCTTCTGATGATCATGCTTTATTTAAAATTATCACTGTGAGACTGACCTATAGGCTTCTTGTGGTTTTCTAATTTATTTTATTCTTTATTGAAAATGAGAAGATTCTGGGCAACAGTCATAAAAACACAGACCACATATCGAATTATTGAATTCAGGGAGTTCTTATTGGTATTGCCTGGAAGCTTTCAGAATCTAATAGTGCTACCAGGTCACTTAGCTGTTTCTGCCAATTTTCAGAAATAGAGCTCTTCTTTGTGAACATATAACAAAATGAAATAATTTAAAGTAATACTTTCAACAACATTGCAGCATGCAAAAATTGTGATCTCAACATGACTACATATAGTATTGATATAACTAGCATACATTCAAATGGAAAATTTTTACCCAATTTATATTCTTCTAGGAAACAGTGCAGCCTATTTTTGTTTTCTGTTATCTTATTATCTCTGATTATGGGTTTCTAAATCATGGACATGTAACAAGCCACAAGGCAAATACACATTTTTGCATGCAAGCCACAAAGAACACATTGTGCATATTGTTTAAGATAATTTAAACATTATTCAGCAGAAGAAAAGCCAGGCAGTCCTGGTAATAATGAATTCATAATATTTTCATAATATTATTCATCATATTTTACCTTTCTTTATGTACCTGGCAGTCACATTGAGATCCATATTTCTGAATTACCAGAGATTTGCCATGGTGAAACATGGGCTGGACCTCATATCATTTTGCTTTTTGTTTATTTAAATCAGACTGTGGACAGGATTTTTCACATCCTGTCTTTTGAAACACAAGCTGAGCTCCACCAATTAGAGAATATGAAACAAGCAACCAAATACGTGACGCTAATTCGATATGTCTCTGGCAAAAGGGCAGCTGAGTAATCGAATTTTGGGTTGTTCATTATTCATTCTGTATGCCAAGTTTTATATCTGAAGTAAGAGAGCTATGAGGCCTACGAAAAATTTGAATAAGACCGTCATTATTCTATGATCCAGCATCCTCTTCCTGCTCCTAATTGGACTGGGCAGATGCTTCTTTTCTTTTAAAAACAAAAACGAAGAAATGTCTATTATAGGCCTACTAGGAATTTGAGAACAAGAATGCATTCCTGGAAATTATATATATGATTACTAAAGTATAAAATTCACTAGAGAGACTGAATCTTAGAATGGATATGGCTAAAGACCAAGTTAGACATCTGAAAGATAACAAAAAATAAATCACTCAGAATTAAAGCTAAAAGACAAAATGATGAAGCAGAGAAAAATTAAAGCACACAGAAATTTGATCCAGAAGGCACAACATCTCTCCACTAAGCATTCCATGAGGATAATACAGAGAAAAATAAAAGAGATGAGCAAAAAAAGAGAAATTACTTTAAAAAAAAAAAGACATTTTCAGACGGAAAAGTCACTTAATGTTAAGACAAATGACAAAAAGCTCATACTTAGCCATTTTAGGGTGACATTTTTGAAGTTTAAAATTAAAAAGAAACTCTAAAATTCAGATGGGGGTGTTGGAATCTGATAGTAAAAAGAAGAAAAAACAGATTAACATGAATACTGAACTCTAAAAGAGAGACTAATTAATGCCTTCAAACATCTGAAGAAAAATGATTTGAACTTAACAATTTTATGACTAGCCTAACAATCAGGCAAATGTGTAGGCAAAATAATTATATTTTCAGACAGGTGAAGATTCAGTAAACTTATCTTCTAAGACCCTTTTTGAAAACAGCATTCAAAGTTATATTCCAGCAAAATGAGGAAAGAAATCCACGAAAAAGAAATGACATCTGAGAGAGCAATGAGACAACATCCCAGGATTAAAGCAGTTAGAGCAGGTCAAATTATAATGACAAGGTAGATGGAGGTCTCTAAGAAGAATTCAATCACATTTCTTAAAAAAATGTGAAAAGTAATCATCTCCTCTATAAAACTGGAGTTTACTGGCTATGTGATCTTGGACAATGACTTGCCTTCTCTAACAACTGGTTTCTTCATTTATATGATTTGGATAATAATTATTACTTCATTAAACTATAGATTAAATCAGATAATCCATGTCTAGTTTTTGGCACTGTGGCTGGCATATAATAACTGTTCAATAAATGATCACTATTTTTATTATTGAGTAACAAATATTATAGAATGGGAATAACTAATCATAGCTACTTACTATTAAAACACTGAGAAGTGAGTGTCACAAAAGAGTAACATAAATGAGAAAAATGGGGAATAGATTCAGGAGCAAATGACAAAAACCAAGAGACCGAAAAAAAAATTCTAAGAATTATTGAAAAACATAAACAAAAAGGAATAAATTCCTATCAAAAATTGGTAAATTAAATTCAGAAATAGGGAAAGTCATAGGAAGAAAAAGGTTCATTGAAAATTTTATGAACAAATTACTTATAGAATAAATTGTGAATGAGGTATCATAGATTTGAACTCCACCATCTTAATGAAACTATCCCAAATGAGATAGACATTTGTGACCAATTTTTAGTAGACTGTGATAAAAAACAAAAAAAGCAATAATGTCTTCTGACTTCACAGGAAGTGAAAGATTCGATCATCGTGCAAGCATGATTCTAAAGGAGCACTGATAACCATATATGTATTTACACTAATTGAAGTTTCTAGAAGATCAGTTTTAAGCAACTGCGGAATACAATATTTTTAAAGAATGGAGTAAAGTTGACATTTAATGCGTGGTATGTTTGAAAGACTGATAGGAATGAGTATTAAAAATTCTATTTCAAAAGTTTTAATAATAAAATACATACCAAATGAAATTTGTATGGTTTTGACATATTTTCTTTAAAGCGGACATAATCGTTTTTTTTTATGGCACTTTCTACATTTAATGTTTTGGTATGAAATATTTGACATATTTTCTCTAAAGCAGACATAACTTTTTTTCTATGGCACTTTCTACATTTAATGTTCAGCTTTTTGTAATTGGTACTCACATTTTCTGTTGAAGGTTGTCACATGGCCTATAGGAATTTCAGCTGCCTGAAAATCTTCTGGGCCTTTCTATTTTAAATTTAAAAAAAAAAATATGGAAAATAAGCACTAGCCATCATTTTATTGAAAAATAAAACATCTGAAGTTATGTTGATTTTTAACAGACTTTTTAATAGTCTAGAGTATTTTAGAACTTCCAGATTTCATAAACAAACACAGAAGGTAGGGCTGAGAGTCTGCAAGCATGATGCTTTTGCATTATGTGTATTTAGATGAAAATAGCACTCTTGTGTAGATCAGAGTTTTCCAGAGTGCTAGAAGCTTCCGAGACAGTCTATAATTCAGACTCTTAAATAATGTAAGCCTTTGTGAAATCTAAGAGCTGATGAAAAAAAAAAAAGATTCTTGTTCTTGACCTAATTTGGCTCTTCTCCTGTATGGGGGACTGTGGATCCAGGAGTCACCTTCTGATCTGTCAGCAGATTGTGCATTGTAATCCATGCCAACACAACACCTCATTTTGTTCTTTTTTTGTGGCTTTGCCAGTCAGTAAAAGAAGCCTGATGATTAAGAAAGTAGACCAACAAACTTACAAAAGACAAATATAACACATTTCATCCTTTCTCACAACAAGGAAGTAAGATTTTGAAACTGACACCTATAATATGAGTTTAAGATTATGTGATTTTATTTCAGAGACTGACTCATGGTTCAATTTCTGGAAAGTTACTTCCCCTCCCTATGCCTCAAGTTCTTATTCTCTAATGTAAAAAGAATACTTTTTATCTACCTTTTAAACATATTCTTTTAAAAGCATGTTCATAAAATTCTATTATCCAAAGTTTTAGAGACTTTGAGACAAATTTTAGGAGACATAAGCATTATTTTTTTAATGTAAAACAGAGAAAGTAAACTTAAAGTTTACATGTTAAAATAATAGCAGCTATTCAAAAGATGTAATGACAGGCTGTTCTGGGGAAAAGGATGCTAAGAAGTAAGATAGGACCTTAAGGATACAGGGTGAGAGGAAGTAGACAGGCCTCTTGCCTGAAATTGATGGATCTAGAAACAAACAAAAATAAAATGAGATTTTTTTTTTTTTTTTTTACATTACATCGAAGGGCTCCATAGATCCATTAAAAGATAGGAGTTCAAATATTTATTCCAGGACTTTTTTTTCCAAAAAGCTATCGATTGTCACACTATGTAAAGGAATTTAGAGGCAAACATCCAAGATTCCTTATTGACTGGAAGGAATTGTGAGTTCCCCTCCTTCCTTAAAAACCGGAAATTGAACCCAATGGTCCCTAAAGTTCATATTATTCCTATTTGCTTAGGTGGATCTTGCAGTTTAAATAACAAAGTAACAGTGACTATTCTTAGTGAGGGAAAATATTCAAATACAACCAAACTCATTAAGTTGGCATCAGAGATGTGCTTAAATGCATCGTGGGGAGCTGGACTCTTCCTTCAAAGAGAAAGAATAAAATCAGTGTTAGAGTGATTTTAAAACTAATCTCAAACATGTGAAGCATCTAAGCAATAAACACAATATGACTTTTAAAATCATTTTTTGAAAGAAATCTTTTTTTCATTCTTATCTTCAAGTTAGCTCTAGGTCTGTAGTCTACGGTCAGATTTCCATCTTGCTGTGTTAATGCCTCAGGAATATTTTATTTTTATCTCTACTCTGTTAGTAATCTATCTTTGAACTGTATACCCCACTTCTCCCCGAAGGCTATGGTTCTAGGAGGCAAGTCTTCTAACTATTATTTATTACTTTCATATTTTTTCTGTCTCTTTAATTGTTACTTTGAGGATTAGAATGGGGATATTATTTTAAACTTGATTGGAGGTTGTGTTTTGAGAATTCACATGGAAGATTTCGATGTGGAAAACTCAATGTAACAGAAGGCACTTGAACTATGAGACATCTCCTTCAACAGAATCAGTTCTCTCCTGCATTGTGAAATGAAATACCCCACTCCCAGATGCACTAATTGTTCAGTATTTATTTGCACTCACCTAGCCATGGCTAAGGATTACTCAGAATGGAAAACCAAAGGCCAACTGGTTTATGAAAACTTATAAACACAAGGATTAAGTTGCTGCATATTCTGTCAATCTGAGTCATTACATGTTCCAGAGTGGTACAGAGAGCAATGATTTGAGTCTACAAAAAATGCTTTTAACTCTTTAAAACAGCCTTTAGGTGTTTGGCAAAGTTTCTCAAACTATTTATCATGGTCAACAATAGGCAAATCAAGAGTAGATTCTATATTTGCCCTATTGATTTTTTTTACCAATTCATCAAGAAATAAAGAAAGTAATCAAACCAATAAAATACTTCAGATCAGTAACCTACCAACTGGATAGTTGAAGCAGATTTGCCTTTGCCTGACTGGTCACTTAATTCAGAGTTGAGTGCAAGACGGTGGGCATGTCCCACATGCCCGTTAGCCAAAGACACACCCTGCTGAATGAGGATGGTTTAAAATTAGTGGCAAAGCCAGAAGAACACAAGTGCAGCCTTTGTCAATTCCATGGTTCTATTTAACATTTTGCTTATCGGCCACAGTGGTGGGTGGCACAAAAAGAATAATAGGAGAATTCTGTCATGATAAATACTTGCTCAAGTGTCTCACTTTGAGGAAGCACAGGACTGCTCTGAATCATCATGCATATTCAAAATGCTTTAAGAATATAACTTCTAAAATGTCCAGTTATGATTTTAAAAAGCTTAAACAGTGGTAGTTTTTATACTGTCTGTTTTTAAAATATTTTTTGATTTTTCAATTATAGTGAATATACAACATTATATTAGTTTCAGATATACAATGTAGTGATTAGACATCCATATAATCCAAGAAGTAATCACTTAGGTAAGTCTAGTACCCATCTGGCACCATACATAGTTATTACGATATTATCGACTATATTCCCCATGCCAAATAAAATTTAAAATATACCTTAGAACTCGGTGATACGAGAAGAATAAAACATTTTTCTATCAAGAAAAATCCATGGATGCCTCCAATTAATCCCAACAGTTTCCAAATGTGATCTTTGCTTTCATGGAAATGTCCAAACTCTGAGGCTTCCTGTTTATGTAAACCAAGGACCTAAATAAAAGAATGTAAAGAAATCTTTTTTGACTTAAATATTAATTAGTAGGTTCAATATCGAATACACTCAACTTTCCTTCAGGGCAACTTCAGGACAACTCTTGAAAACATTTGAAACCCAGATAGTTTGTAGATGTATGGATATTTCCACTATAGGATTTAATCACAGTCAAATAAAATGTGTATAAGAGAAAATAAGGGAAAGCTTTGAGTAGCTTCTGCAAATGAACAGAATAAAGCCTAAACTTATTTCAGCGAGTGTCCTAAATTTTCATACATTCTCAATCCTTTAGCTGAATTTTTTTTTCCGGGAATTCAATTCATATCTGTTTTCACAGCAACACCTTAGAACAAATCGATGTATTTTATATCCAGAACAAATATACAGATATATTTCATCTGGAGCTTTTGTCTCCATTGCAATTAAAGAACATTTTTAATAAATGTTCAGAGAAGTAAGAAATCTGCCTGAGACAGATTTTCCACTGAGAGCCTACTGTATGCCCAGCAATATTGGCAACAACCCGGGACACAAAAAGATACAAGAAAAGCATTAGCAATTTTCCTCTAGTTGACTCATTCCATTGGCTGACTCATTCCATTGGTTGACCCCATGATTTCTTGTGAGCAAGTAAATTAGTATCATATTTCTTCCCCAGGAGAAGTTAACTTGGGAAATAGCTCAATGGTTTCCACATTTAGGATGTTACTGACAAGTAAATTAAAAGAAAAAGAAATTGTATGTGTATGTATTATATGTAAAAATGTTCATACATACATGTAGATATTTATGTGTACACATATATGTACACGTGAGTACATAAGTGAGTATATATGTGCACTGAGTTTATGCAGATAACTAACAACCAACATGTTAGTTAACTTTTTCTTCTGGGAAAGGCATTAAAGGACACCCACCTAATATTTGCAATTACCATTATTTCGCAAAACAGAACATTGTAATATCACAAAACAGAACAGGGGAAAAAAACCTACAGTCTCAGAAGGAAATGTAGATCTTCACGTTGAATAAAGTTAGCTAGTTAAAACACGAAATCATGACAGCTGCTCTTTTCTCCATTTCTGTGCAGCCCTTGGAACGCTTGTCACAGATCACATTCAGGAAGCACTGATTTTTCTAGCTTTCTGCCATACCTGTATGGCATCTTTCCTCCTCTTCCCAATAACTTTGTCCTTGTCTCTTTCTTCAGATAAAACAACTGCCTTTCAAATTTCATGAAACCCTGCTCATCTTTTAAGTTCCCCTCTGTAACAGGTCTCCGCAGAGCAGCTGAAGGTCCCACCTGCCCCAAATCCACCCTGGCTGCCTCGAGCCATGTACTCAGAGGAGACCCAGCAAGCTTTCAGATGCTCTGGCTGTTTCCTGGGATCTTACAAGTGAAGGACAGCTCTGCAGGCACTGCAGTGACCTAGAAAAAGGCCTCCGCCACCGCCTCAGGCCAATACGCCCTGAAATATTTCCAGAAAATGAGATTACAGGGGAACTTAAAACTAATAATGGTTTGTTTCATTTCTCCAATGCTCACTTTGCAGTTTCCAGAACATCTAATAATTATTGAGCCTCTAAGCAACAAGAGTGACCCTGTAGGAAATTGTCAGAGGCTTGCGGAAATTTTTAATATCTCAGGCTTTGTGAAAGGGGGGACCATTTGTCCATTGTTATTCATCATAAGAGATTTCAGAGGAAATAGAGACCATCATCTGCAGACTCTTCCGTCTGAACTCTTCTGCATCTCGGGTCCTAGTCCTTTCATTTCTGACAAATAAGGACTCTCAAAGGACTTCAACAAAGAGCCAGCTTTCTGATGCTCACATTTTTCTTAGGGTCATCTGCATGCTCCTAGGTGGGTTAAGAAAGAGAACTTGATTTTGATGGTTCAAATGAACGGTGCTATTACAGTGGTATGTACAATGTCAGAGTATGAACACAGGATAACGAGACACCCAGAAACTCGCCACCCCAGGAAACCATTGCTGCTCAGGGCCGAAAGGGTGCAGGTTGGGAGCAATGTTACTGAAGCTCAGTGGGAGTAGGCTTCTGTGGGAGCTGCAGGACTGCGGGTGATCCACTGCTTCCAGAGCGGGTACCAGAGCCACAGGGAATGAGGAAGAAATACCCGGCCGCTCTCTTCTACCCTGAATTTTCAGTTGCGCCTCCCATTGGCCAAACCCAAACAACAATCCAGCCTGCAAGGGAGCTGAGTTGATGCCAGTTTCTGGGGGGCAAAAGACGTGGCAGAGAACAGAATGGATGAGGTTTACGGGCAATTGGAGAAAAACCAGTGTGACGTCTTATAGCCCATTCGTTTTTATTTACAGGTACTTAGTTGATGCTCCCTGAACTTTTCTTAATAGGAATCTACATCTGACCACCTTTGTTTATTTCAAAAAAAAAATAAGAATAACGTGTGGAATGTACAGAATGTTCATCCGCTTTCTCCTACAAGTGCTCTGGGTAAATAATATTTATTTCCATGGAATAAGGTGCTGCGAAATTTTGCCTAAACACCTCCAGGGGCTAAATGTAAAGAGAAATTAAAAACACATCATCCAAAGCAGCTTACCTGAGGAATAAGGTGGAGGAGAGCATCCCCAGAGAGTGTCCCAACAGCCAGGCCCACAAACAGCTGTAAAATCAGCCTGTAGTTCTCCTCGCATCTGTGGAAAAGGATCAGTGTTGTCCCAAGCATGGAACCTAGGGTGAGCAGCATCACAGCCACTGTGCTGTAGCCATATTCTAAGTCAGAAAAAGGTGGCAAAAAAAAGGTCAGTGTACACAATGCCCTCGGTTAGTGCCTCAGCTAGTGAATATGCCAGAAGACTCTATCTTCCCACTCAGCTGGTGGGGATAGCAAATTGTTCTATCAGTGTTACACTGGGTAAAAGGTTTTACTTTTTAAGGAAAGGAATGAAAAGATTTTCACCAGAAACCCTGTTGCTTTAAAGTTACCCCGATGACCTCTCATTAAAAAAATCACTGTGGCAACCAAGGACCTAGCTAACCTCCCATCTTTGAAGAAATTAATTTCTATCACTTTAAGTTATAAATTCTGCTGTCAGAAACTGGTCATGATTTCTATCTAATCATATTTAATTATATTCCTTGTCTTCTGAAGACAAGGAAACAGTATCGCAGAGAGAGCATACGGTTTGGGCTTATAAAGACCTGTGTTTGTGTACAAGTATTTGCGAGTATTTTCTTTCAAAAGTTATCAAAATTATTTGTCATATCAAAAGTGTTTACTATTCTCAATGACCAAAATGAGTATTGGTAAAAACCAATCAATGAATGTCTAACAATTGATAATCTAAATTTGGACAGCCTACATTTGGGATTATTACTATAATATTTTATTACTTCTAAATTTGTTCTATGTTTCTAGGCTTCTTGATTTTTCTAAAAAAAATCAGAAAGTACAATTTTTAAAATGATTCAAAGAAAAACTATGTATGAGAGGAGACGAAATAAAGGGGGAAAGGCGAGAAAAAGATTAAAAGGGAAAAAATGGCTTCGAGAGGCAAGCATAAATGATTTGAAGATTAAGTTATTTATGCCATTATTTTTGTTGTTGTTGCAGATAGGAAGGAAGGTAATTACCAAATTAAACTATCATTTCTTGTAGTGACTACAGATAAACAATGTTAAATCAAACTATTTAGTTATCATACTACTTAAAGCCCATTGTAGATTTTAAGAAATTATCACCTTAAAATATGTCATAATATTCCATTCTCATTTTTCTTGAACTGTCCTGGAAGGTTCACCTCCTACCTTTGACCACATTAGTGACACTAACTGGGAACATGGCAATAGGTTTGTGATTTTAAGAGGACCTTCGTTGAATTATAAGTTCTAAATTATACAGGGGTCTAATATTAAAATGAAATTGGTGGTGTACATGGAAGAAACAAACAAAAAACTTTCCAACCTCATTTTTCTCATTCTCATCACCACTCCTCCACTGCTAAGGAACCACTATAAATGGTGGTTGTTCGATGGATGTAGAGTTTCTGTTTTGCAAGAGTGAAAAAGTTGTAGAAATCTGTTTCACAACAAAGTGAATCTACTTAACACTACTGAACTGTACACTTGAGAATGGTGAGGATGGTAAATCGCATGTTTTGTTTTGTTTTTTTACCTCAATTAAAAATAAAAATTATCGAGAAAGGTCATAGGCATACATACAGGTTTTATTTTGTTCTAATTTAGTCGAAATGCCTTTGTTATAAAAACATCTCAAGAGGTATTTAACCGAATTAAATATTTACCCCACTCCTCTGCAACGTGAGCACAAAGGTGTCTAATGTTCAAAGTTGCCACATAAAAAGTCAAGAACTCACAAGAATCAATTAGGCTCTGAGACCTCCCAAGCCAAAGGCAAAGTTTCAAATTTTTCTGACTCTTCTCTCGCCTTTGTCCTGAGGACAGCGACAGTGTGGAACTGGAGGAAAATGGACAGCTCCTAACTTTAGAGCTTACAGATCTTTTTAGGTCCTCTGTGAGTCAGATTTCACCTGCTCCCATGTGGCAAGGGCAGCCTGAAAATCATAAAATCTCTGACTTTTATGGCCATCGGTACGCTGCTAACTAACTTACCCCAGGTCTCTACATAGGTGTCATGGCATTTTGATTGGAGTCAGGCAACTTGCAGACAGTGCTACATAAATGCTTCCCCTCGTTATGATAGGACTAGACCTAATAATTAAATTCTTAGCCACTCCTGGGCAGCTACTTTGCATAGCACTGAAACTTGCTTTATATGTGGCCATAACATTCTTTCCTGGAAAGTCAGTTGGAGGTGGTGCTTAGAGGCTGTTTCAGCACACTGAACGCTGTTTTCTTAATAACTTCTCCCTGTATCCTCCCCTCTCCACCTTACATTTCTGTAACAAGCCTTTCCCTTCAGTTACATGATGCAACATTTTAAATTGAGGACAGTAATGTTCTTTGAGGTTCTTTAGTGAGTATGAATGTTTGCATTTTTCTCAGGAAGACTATTCCTTAGAAGAGTCCAGGTCATTAGAAAGATAAAAACTTTTTCACAGATTTTCAGTTCATACATCTATTTCCCAATGGCCTATATGTACCAGACACTGTGTCACGTGGTGGGAATATAAACAAGCTCATGGAAGCTCCTAGGTGCCGTGGTCTGTGCACGCCATTCATTTTTGAGCCATCACTGACCGCGAAATGCTTAATTATTTAGCTGCTCACTTTTAACAGAGCTTTCTTCCTCTCAGTGAATGTAGAGTTTTAGATATTTAGGCCTGATATGTTTGTTTGTTTGTTTGTTTGTTTCACCTAAAATCTTCAAATGTGCTTTTGATGCCTCAGAGTTCACCGTGAGTTAGTAGTGAGTAGCTGAACAATTTAGCTATGATGGGCATTGTGGACTTTCTCAAACAGAGAGAAAAGCAGGTCTGGAAAAAGCATATGTAAGGCCCGTCAGATCAATGATATTTAAATGGTTGCAGGCATTAATGGTCACTTTTTTTACTATCCATCATGGATGTTTTTAGGCCACCTTTTATTTTTCTTTTAAATAGACAGTAATTTGCAGAACACGGCTTTGTATATATTATCCCTTTTGAATTTTACAGGTATCCTATGAAGCCTTACAGTAGAGCTCGCCTACTGCAGAGATCCAATGGGACATAGGTGAGTGCATTTCTGAGGAGTGCCAGCCAGGTCTGTGAGGCTGACACCCCCCCTGCACTGCTCACCTCCTCCCCAGAGTGGCCTCTTTGGTTTACCCCAGTATGCCTTCGTTTTCTTTCTATTTGCCATGATGTGTGAAAAAAATGAGAAGCCCTGTAGGACATCACTGCTTTCTACTGTGCAGAAAAAGAGACAAACTTCAATTTTCCAACTGTCATCACCACTCCCTCGCTGCTAGGGAAATAAAGAGATCGCTGAAGATCAGAGCTGGCCGGGGATAGAAGGCATGACTCAACTCTGCATCTCTGACCCCAACATTATATTCTTGTTCTCTTATCATGCCAGTTCTCAACTTTGCACTTTTAAATTGGTCCTATATGGCTGAGTCCTATATAGGAAACAAAATCGGTTTGCATAAATTATTTATGAAATATAAAATAGTCATTGAAAGCTAGCATAGCGTAGTGGTTAAAATCAACAACTCTGGGGCCAGCTTGCCTGGGTTTGAATCCCAACTCCATCACTTTACCAGGTGTGTGTCCTTGGGAGTCACCTAACCTTTATGTGTGTCAGTTTCCTCATTTGTAAAATGGAGATAACAATACTATCTAGCTAATAGCATTCTTGAGAGGATTAAATGAGCTGATAAATATTAACTGCTTAGAACAGTGCCTGGTATATAGTAAATCTTCAGTGTTCAACGTCATTATCACGTGTACTGTGTGCATTGGCTTTCTGAAGGAAGAATCAGAACTTACTCTCCAGAGTGGTGGGTGGCAAATTTGCTTGTTGGTCTTTGGGCAGCTGGCAAGAACAGCTGAGCAATTGCTGGATGATTCCCGGACTCATTTGCTTAAAGTCCTCCTTAGAAATGGGTGAAAGGCTGTTCCGTAGAAATATCTCCACCAGCTGCCCAGCAGAGAAGCAAGTCTGTATAGGAGCAACGCATGTTGTTAATAACCTCAGCACACAAACTCACCATCCACTGCCATTCCTGGGGAGTCAGAACTCAACAGAATGGCTGAAATGGACACATAAAGCCTTATCATTTAGCGTTTACACACCAGCTAGTTGACACAGCATTTGTCAACTGACGTCCCTTCTTCACAAAAATAATAGAAATCATTGTTTTTGCCTACTAATATTTACCTAAATCTTTGTAATTTTTTATTATATAGGAATATTTATTAGAAATAAGGATTATAAACAGGAAGAGCAACAGGTCTCTAAAAACTGCCACAAGGCACCTGTTTTTCTCAGAAGTATTAAGAGCTGATTTTGTATATCAAAAATTATAAACAAGTTTTAATGTGGAAAATGGTATATAGTTCTACGAGCATAAATGGATGCCTTCTATTGATATAAGACCCTAATACAATGTCTTTGTGATCTTTAGTTTCAATTAATATGGTATTATTGTTTTAAATCAATGATTTAAAAGGCTTGTGTCTTCCGAGACAAGTATCTTCTCCTTTCTGTTTCCCTCTGCATATATCTATTGCCTTTTAGTGTCTGATATTCTCTCTTTTAGAAAACTCATGGCCATATAAACCCCAGCTCTGAAGTGACCGTTCAGTCCACTAACCCAAGACCGAGCTGATTCTGCAAGTCCTGATAACGATCTGATTGCTTCATCAAAGCCACAGATGGGCTCTCTTGGGTCAGACACCCATCTAATTCAATTAGTTTTGCCCATGAGACAGGAGGTGGGATTATGCTGTTTAAACATGGCTACCAGTCCCACCCTTGTGGGTGAGAAAGGCATTTTGCAGAAAGGAACTGGGCAAGAACTTTAAAAGGTTTCTACTACAAAAGAACAACAACAGAAAACTAAACTTGTGATTTTTTTTTCCCCTTCATCAAAATAATTTTCACCAAAGACAATATTATCTTTTGGGCCATTTGTTAATAATGGAATAGAATTACTTCATCATTAAAAATACTGACAATAAAGAAAAACTAGCAACAAACTTATGATGAATCTTCCATAATAAATAATCTTATTGGAAAATGCCTCCCTGGGAAGTAAGAGTGGAGAGATAAACATGAACATGTATCTTTCCCAAGTTCATTGTCAAGAAATTGAATAGTCCTAGTTTTAGAATATCTTTTCATAAAGTAAGGTTACTCTATTATAAGCTCCTGTGCTCGCCATCTTTATTTGCTATTCCTGTGCTATTTAGGTCATTATTTTAAATTTCTCCTGAAATCATTTAACACCAATGTCCTTCAAGGTAATACATTATATCCTATAAAATTTTGAACATGAAATATTTTTAATAAAGAAGAAAATAGAAAGAATATTTAGATTACCCAAAAAATAACCTTTAAAATATCTTTATTCCTTTACATAAAGCTTCAGTATATATGTGTGTACTTGTGTTGATATCGTCAGGCTTCCATGGTAATTTTACAAACATGTTCTAAAGCAGTGGTTTCTGAACTTTGGTTTGGAGAATCCCTTGGAGTGCTTGTTGAAAGACAGAGAGCTGGGCTCCATTTTCAGAGTTTTTGATTTAATAGATTCAGGGCTTGGAGATGAGAATTGCCCTTCCAACAGCTTGTCAGGTGATGCTGATGCTTCTGGTCCAGGGACATTTTGAGAATCACTGGTCTGCATAATATAGGCAGGATCCTCAGAGCTAGTCTCCTGTCTTAGGGTCCCAACAAGAGTCACAAGAGAAGTGACATGTGGAGGCAAAAAAGAATTGTAGAAGAGTTTGCTTTGTTTATTTGCACACTCAGCATGGAAAATTATTATTGCTGTTCTTAGAAGATGCATAGCTTAAGTAGATAATCCCTAAATTTTGAAAAATGTCTTTTGTTCTTTATGCAAATAGGGCACATTTGTTCCCTCCGGAGCCAGCCCTGAAGATGCATTTCGGGAGACTTCACAAACAAGAATCAATAGGGATATCAACTCTTGTCACCTTCAGTTGAGTACAATAAGTGTGAGTTTGAAAAACTCAGTTTAAATAGATATTTTTTAACATAAAAGTAAATAAGTCATAGAAAATTGCTTTTTAAAATATATAATAGCAAAAATATGTGACACTGCCCAATCATGTATTTATAACTTATGGGAACAGCAATCAGTGTTTAGACAATGTGAGGAGTTTTGTTCTTTTAAGATACAGATTGTGCCCAATAAGAATACTGATCTAAGATACAAATAACAAAAATAGCTTTATATATTTAAATCAACATTTTCTAAACAATATCATAGCTGTTAATGGCACTGAATATGCCATCAGACAACCTGTGCATATATCCTCAGTTTCTGTGACTTTAAGTTATTGTTTATTAGCTCAATGCCTCAATTTCATCAGCTGTAAGATGGAATAATATAACTTAACTTCATATAATTGTAATAGTTAAATGAGGCAATGCAGGCAAAATAGCACAGTGTCTAATACGTAGTAAGTACTCAATAAATATAAGCCACTATCATGGAACAGCAATTTGTCATGCTTTTAAGTGATTAGGGCAGGGAAGGATTCTATGGTCAAAGTTCGAGAAATGCTAGAGTCAATGAGATTAAAGTTTACTTATTAAAGGACTTCCCCAGACACCTTAACATTCTACAGTACAATGTGTATCTCCAATATTTCCCAAACTAATTTAACCATAGCACATCGTTTCAAGAAGCCTCAAAGTAGACTAGTGAATGTACTTTGGAACACAACTTTAAATATTATGGATATGACTATGTTCACAAGCTCAAATATCACCTTTTCTCAGAAAACATCTTAGAGCTAGCTACTATGAAAATATTTCACAGTTGCTCATAGCCCAAAGTAATCTCTTTATAATCTAATCTAAGTTTAAAATATTCATTCATCACTGTGAGCATTTATATAACATCTGTATTCTCCCACTACCCTGTAAGCTTCGCAGGAGCTGTGCCTATTTTTGTTCAATACCATATCTCTGACACCCATGATGGTGACTGGCATACAGAAAAGGCTTAATATATGTATACTTAATATATGTTTATGCATTCAATATAGACCGAAGGGAGGAAAGAGTAATATATATCATTCTTCTAAGTATCTTGGCCCTGTGTTTATGTTTGCAGAGATCCAGTTGTAGAAGAAAAAAAATCATAACCACTCTGTGGAAATAGAATATTTTTACAAAGAAAATAAACATTAACTTTTAAGTTTTCTACAACTCTTACAGAATTTCTACAGTGGGCTTCCTTTGATAGTAGCAAATGATGATATACGAGGAATAATGACAATACCTGATCCCAGGAAATTGGACCATCATCTGACTCTTGGTCCCTGGGTACAGATAGATTAGGGTACTTCCAACCATGGATTGCTGTGTTGTTTCGTTTCCTTTGAAGTTGATAGATTTTGTCTTTCCTGATACACGTACTTTTGGTCCAAAGACTATTGAGAAGTTGGTCTAATTCTAGAAATTTCATACAAAATCTGGTGTCACATAGAATAAAGACACATCAATTTCAGGATAATCACAATTTCACATGGCCATAGCATAAATATTTTACTAAGTAAACTTGGTTCTAATGAAAAACCAAGATTTTATTCTGAATAATAATAAATAACATTTAGATTTCACATGGATATTCATTCCCTCACAAGATCTTGACTAAACTTTGGGGCTGAATCAGTCTTACAAAGATGCTCCCACCATTTTTATCTCCTGGAAATAATGAAATAATAAATTCAATGTCTTCTGTTGAACCAACTAATTCTTTTTCTAGATGTTCCTTATAAAAATGTAAACAAAAGACAGAACTGGCCTAATCTTTAGAAAATATATTCCTTTGAGGCACTACACATCCTTAGTAGATTAACTATAACTTTAATGTAGTTAAGCCAATCAAATTATTTTCCTCGTAAGTATTTATCAGAAAAGAGAAAGGAAATAAAAGAAAGTTGAGATTGTAGAGACAAAATAGACCTTGTTTTCTAATGTTACTATGGTATGGTTGTCGGTTTATAGATTGCAGTTTCATTTCCCTTGGTAAAGCTCTAGGCTTTTAAAAACTGATTGATACAAAAAATAATTAAATATAATGGTGAATTCCTTTGAATTTATTCATCTTCTTACTTGTGAATAAAATATCTCTAGCATTTTCCTAAGTTTTACCATCAGTGGTAGGAAAAAATTACAAACTAGAATTACTTTAAATGAAAATGAAAAAAACCTTTTCAAATTTGATGTAAAATCTTAATCTACATAGTCAAGAAGTTCATCAGGCATTAAGTAGGATAAATACAAAATGACCCACACCCAGACACATAATAGTCAAACTGTTCAAAGTCAAAGACAAAGATAAATCTTGAGAGCAGTGACAGAAAAACGACTCATCACATACAAGAGAGCATCAATATAATTAATAGTGGACTTCACATATGAACAATAGAGGCCAAAAAAAGAAGTGGAATGATATATTTAATGTGCTGAAAGAAAAAACTATCAATCAAGAAATTTAAATCCAGCAAAAATACTTTAAAAATGAATGTAAAATAAAATCATTCCCAGGTAAATAATCAGGCCTGCCTTACAAGAAACTCTAAATTAAGTTCTTTGGGCTGAAAAGAAAGGACACAAATGGTAAATTGAGTCCACAGGAAGAAATGAAGAACACTGAAAATGTAAATATGTAGGTTAATATAAAAGACAGTTTTTTTCTCATTTGTTCTTTAAACTCAGTGAGAAAATGCTGCAGGCTTCCTTTTAAAATCGGAAACATGATAGGATGCAGACACTCTCTAATACTATTTATCATTAAATTGGGATTATTAACCAATGCAATTAAATGAGAAAGCAAATAAAGACACGATAATTGGAAGGTAAAAGGCAAACCTATATCTATTGGAGATGATATTATTTATCTGAAAATCCTTTAAAAACTAATGAAAAATTAAATAAAATATTAATCATGGAGCAGCTTATAAATCAATAACTTTCATAAATACATACAAAAGCCAGTTATAAAATTAAATAAAAGATTAATCATGGAACAGCTTATAAATCAATAACTTTCATAAACACAGACAAAAGCCAGTTATAAAATATAATAAGAGAGAGGATCTCATTTAAGGGAGCCAAAAAGAAAGTTAAATGCTTAGGCATAAATGTAGCAGGAAATTTCTAAAACCTATGTGAGAAAAATAATAAAACACTATACGAAAACACACATGTAGACATGAACAAATGAAAAGGCATATCATATTCCTGGGTAAAAAGATAAAACATCTCAAAATGTCATTTCTCCTGTTATT